AAAATGCCATTTCTGCATGTATGCACAGTGTTACATATAATGAGAGGTCATCATCAAAAAATGAAAAAAATTAATAAGTGAGCGGAACTCCGGCGGGAGTGTGTATGAGGATTCGTTCGCACTCCGAACCTCCCTCTGGCTAGGAACTTGTACTCTATTGCTGTGAATCGAACCTAGGATTTTAACATCGTAAGTCTGTAAAGTTACTGTCGTTGTATGGGGAGGCCTGAGTAAAGAGAGAAAAATATCTAGTTATTTAGGTACATGCACCCATAATATAGTGTCATTATTAATTTGTTTTTGATAGCATATTTTGAGTTAAATGTTAAATTGCTAATTTAGAAACAATTATAATATATTTCTTTCCTTGTTTTTTATTAAAATTTGTCCAAACTCTGTTTCCAATATTTGTTTATGGAAAGGTTCACGCGTATAAATTATAATATAATTTCGCAAATTTGCGGATAAGTTTACTTCTGTGAAAAACAGTGTTGCAAAATCTATTGGTCACGTGATAAGGCGAATTAAGTTTATGAAAAAGAGATGTTACACCGTCGTATTTTGCATCCTTTGGTTTTTAATTGTTTTCAAACTATTCGCCTCAAGTACAAACTTACTCTTAGGTAAGCTTTCTGTTATAAATTAAATTAAAAAGTAATTTAAGATATGGTTACTATTTGTATTTAGTACCTGTTTGGTATAATCTAGGTAAACTCTGTATTGTAATGTAACTGTAACTTGTAGACGTATATTTAAATATTTTATAAGTTTATCAAGGAATGGTGTGAAACATTAAATGCTGTAGTGTACATTGCCAGTATAGTGTAATGTTACTGCTTCAGTATTTCAGGATTTTAATATCGTTAAATGTTAATATTGTATGCGTTTACGAGTTTTTAGTGCAACTATAATGACATTGGTAATACTAAAGTAAAGCAAAATATTTGTGTTATTTAAGCCTTCTCTTAAAAAGTATAATTATCCAGAAGACGGGTATTTTTAGTTTTACAAAGATAATTATAAGTAAAAGGACATATGACTGAAATCACCTGCCAAAAACAACTAGTTAAATCATATTGTAAATATGTTTTGTATATGGTTACAAACCCATCCAAAGAAAGGAAAGCTGTTGTCATATACATCATCAAGCAATACATTATAAAATTAATTTATAACTAACAAAGAAGTAATTCTGCAAAACAACCAAAATGTAAATTTTATACACATGACTATTGATTTTCAGATTTTCTTTTCCAGTCTTGTTATTTCATCTCTCAACAAATTGATAGTATAGTTTGTATAAGAAGAAGTTTGGAAAGGAGAGTTTGGAGCATAACAAGTTAAATAATAGTTTTAAAGATAAGCATGTCAGGTTGAAGATAAAGAGAGGAGGTTCAAGAAAAAGCTTAGTTGCTGTTATTCAAATGTGAGGAGTATTCAGAACAGAATGGATGAGTTTATGATATAATAAAAATTACTGAAACATGGTTAGACTTGGAGAGCATTTGATAATAGAATTGTTTTGAAAATTCAGGTGATAATTTATGTAATAAAAGTAGACTTTTTGAAAGAGAGGGTGTGATGGCTCTTTATATAAGAGATCAACTAAGCTTACTGAAATTGAAGACAAAAAGGAAAGTCACCTCTTGAATCTGTATAGGTTAAAATCTGAGAGTTTTGGGAATCGTTTAGGAAACTGTTCTATGAGTTGTCTGTGTTTACATGTATATGATATGTATGTAATTTTTTTTTCAGTAGTATCACTTTATGCAGCGTTCATCTCCCAGTTTTCTTCACAACAACCAGCGGCCCACTTCTTAAGCAAAAAGATGGTTTGCCTGTAGATTGTAAGTGGATGTCAGACTTTGGACCAAGTTTCCATATATCTGGAGATGATGTGGAAGTACTCCGCCAACCATCAGAATTCTATGACAGACTCAAAGTTAGTATATTATAACTGTTGACTTTTTTTAAAGTGATACATGTTTATAAGTTACTGTTTTCACTTGATTGTGCATTGTTAGTGTTTTTAGAATTTGATAATCTATCAAGAGTAAATTATTAATTTATGTGTCTAAATTTTATGTATTTAATGATGATTACTAAACTATACTTTGATATTCTGAAGAACACAAGATCAATAAAAAAAGTTAGCATCAGAAAAGAACCCTGATAATCTGAGTGCTTTTCAGAACTGGTCTTTCCTTCATTAGGACTAAATGGCAAAAAATGACCTACTTTTTTAGTGTGTTCATTACTTTGCTAAACACACTATTTTGTCTCAGTTTAGATTGTACTGTGGATAAAGGTCATTAGTTTGCTAAACACACTACTTTGTCTCAGTTTAGATTGTACTGTGGATAAAGGTCATTAGTTTGCTAAACACACTACTTTGTCTCAGTTTAGATTGTACAGTAGATAAAGGTCATTAGTTTGCTAAACACACTACTTTGTCTCAGTTTAGATTGTACTGTGGATAAAGGTCATTAGTTTGCTAAACACACTACTTTGTCTCAGTTTAGATTGTACTGTGGATAAAGGTCATTAGCTTACTAAACACACTACTTTGTCTCAGTTTAGATTGCACAGTTGATAAAGGTCATTAACTTGCTAAACACACTACTTTGTCTCAGTTTAGATTGTACTGTGGATAAAGGTCATTAGTTTGCTAAACACACTACTTTGTCTCAGTTTAGATTGTACTGTGGATAAAGGTCATTAGTTTGCTAAACACACTACTTTGTCTCAGTTTAGATTGTACTGTGGATAAAGGTCATTAGCTTGCTAAACACACTACTTTGTTTTTTGGAATGATTGAGATGAAGTATTAGTATTACATCATAATTATTCACTATTATTCTATTCTTTATTATGTGTATTATTATTTTCACAACGTTTCGACCAGTGAATTTACTGGCCATCATCGGGTGTTATATCAGACTGTTTTGATAGTCAAGTGGTTAGAGAGCCTGTATTTGGGATCACAGGTTGGGGGGCTTGAATCCTAGTAATTCGATAAAAAGATTTTTGGTTGTGGTGCATTCAAATGTCTGACATAACACCAGGTCGAAACATTGTGAAAATATTAATACACACATAATAAAGATGAGAACAAAGTCCGAATAATTATACCATTAGTAACCCTGCTTTGTCTCGGTTTGGATCTTACAGTGGATAAAGGCCATTAGCTTGCTAAACATTCAGTTTTGTCAGTGTTTACCAGATCTTAATCTTGGTGGACAATTAGTTGCTTTGAGTGTAACAGCTCTAACCTGTGTGAAATATCCTAACAAACTGCTGTTATTTAGGTATGCATTCTGTGTTAAACATTTTGTATTTCTACAAGTACTCTAGTGGACAGACTTGTTATCTCAGTACATGGAATAACTTACCGTTGTCTTACCTCCACTCTGTGAATTGATCTCCCAAATATTCCTTTGAAATTCTTACATAAAGTGTACAAAGTGTTTTATGGTAACTTGTAAATATTATAAAAACAATTTTAGTGATGTTCTACTTTGTGTGATTAATGAAACATAAAAAAAAATACGACAAATAAGTGAGGTATGTATCTATTTTATAAATGAAACTACTAATTGAAAGATCTTAAATCTTAATGTTTCTTAGGAATTAGCCAGTAAAGCCAAAGAAAGAGTTACCATTGCCTCTTTATACATAGGAACAGGAACCCGTGAAGAAAAACTGGTATGTTTCACTGAATGTAAGTTTTTTTTTGTTGTTAGTAGAATTGTCTGTGATGATATGTTTTAGTCATCAGTTTAACAAAAGGCTTTTTGTCATTTAATATATTTTTTAAATTATTAAAGTTTATTTATTTACTTTTTGAAACCTGTATAAATTCTAGAATGGATTGTTTTTATTTTCATTTTATGTGTTTTTATTTTCAAGTGAATCCAACACTACCTCTAATTAAAATTTAAATCAAGGAAACAAGTTCAAAAGTTAAAATTAAATATAGAACCGACGTTTAAAATGCAAAAATAATAATTATTTCTCTGAAGTACAAAATTAAAAGACCACATGTTTGGTAGGTATATGCTACCATAATGATGACACTTTATATACAGAACTTATGAAATTCAGGTAGGTATATGCTACCATAATGATGACACTTTATATACAGAACTTATGAAATTCAGGTAGGTATATGCTACCATAATGATGACACTTTATATACAGAACTTATGAAATTCAGGTAGGTATATGCTACCATAATGATGACACTTTATATACAGAACTTATGAAATTCAGATGCTTGTGTCATGTTTTTACTGAAAGTTACCATTTTTAAATCCTAATAGCATAGTAAAAGAAGATGTTGTACAAAATCAATTCTGCTTTTTATGAATTATTAGATTTCTTAAAAACATGACATTAACATGTGTTGTGGTTATAAAGACTATGGTGCTTGTTATGAATTAGTAGAATTCTTAAAAACACGGCATTAACGTGTTGTGGTTATAAAGACTATGGGTGACACCTGGTGTGAGAAAGTTGTGATGTTATTATTTCTTGGAGATGTTGAAAAGAGCTAGTAACATAGCCCAAAACAAAACATTCTCTGTTAAACTACAGGAATAGTGTGTAAATTAACCAGTAATGTTCATTAGAAGCTGGCTGTAGTATTGATTTATAGCCAATATGTGCTCTTTTAAATAACTGGCTGTACTGTTGATTCATAGTAAATATGTGCTCTTTTGGATAACTGGCTGTATGTTGATTCATAGCCAATATGTGCTCTTTTAAATAACTGGCTGTACTGTTGAGTCATAGCCAATATGTGCTCTTTTGGATAACTGGCTGTAGTGTTGATTCATAGCCAGTATGTGCTTTTTTAAATAACTGGCTGTAGTGTTGATTTATAGCCAATATGTGCTCTTTTGGATAACTGTTAGCAAAATAAAACTTTCTTAACTGAAAATAACTACTCTGCCAAAAGTTATAGTCTCCTAGTTCTACCATTAAGTTTGAAAAAATAGGTGATGAATCAACACTAGTAGTTCTTAACAATCTTAAACACCTCAACCTGATCCATTAACAATCTTAAACACCTCAACCTGATCCATTAACAATCTTAAACACCTCAACCTGATCCATTAACAATCTTAAACACCTCAACCTTATCTCTTAATAATCTTAAACACCTCAACCTTATCTCTTAATAATCTTAAACACCTCAACCTTATCTCTTAATAATCTTAAACACCTCAACCTTATCTCTTAATAATCTTAAACACCTCAACCTTATCTCTTAATAATCTTAAACACCTCAACCTGATCCATTAATAATCTTAACACCTCAACCTGATCCATTAACAATCTTAAACACCTCAACCTTATCCCTTAACAATCTTAAACACCTCAACCTTATCCCTTAACAATCTTAAACACCTCAACCTTATCCATTAACA